TAGAGATGACCAATTAAAGAGCTATACTGTGTCAAAATGGAAATTTAAGTATGTCACAAAAATATCATCATGATTGTTATGCTAAAATATTCTATATGGTTTTGACTTTAAATTTTCTGTGTAAAACTATATAACTGTTGCCTGTTGGCATTCTACAGAGATTCAGCTATTAGAACATCCATGGTTTTTAGAAAATAACTGTTCTATTTTATGTTCTAAGGTGCTTGATATTCAGATGAAATAGTACTATTAAGCTCACTACCTTCATTACAAAATGTCATTAACTTCTCTTCTGGATGTTCAATAACTGAGGTCTGGAGACCAAAAACTACAAAGAAAAATGGACTAAGAGGACAGCCAATATTTTGGCCCCAGCCTATTGGGTTAATATTATCCCGTAGTTACTGCAGACTGATCAGGTCAGCAATCTCCCAAATGAGTGGATGGCAATGGCTGAATAAAAGAGACAAATGGAATGATTTCTGGGCTCCAGGAGGATCAAAATCATCTCACAGAATTCAAGATTGTCTGGAGGCTAAGACCAAGATCTTCTCTGGGCAGCCCTTATTTATTTAGTTATCAGAACAAGGGAAGGGAATACTCAAGAAGGGAAGGAACCATTCAAGGATTTCTCCACGTAAGGCATTATATTAATTTAGGACAGTTATGCTAATTCCAGGAAGGTCTCCACCCAGGAATGAGATGCCTACAGCTACAGTCTTTATCTAGTTGAGGTTGGAGCCAAGTGTCTTTAGCTGTGACCTTGTCCTATCCTTTGAGACTTCACAGTTTAACCTGCCAGTATAGGCCTCAGTAGGGATCAGTGGCTCACAGAGGTTCACTTACAGTGAGTCCACTGCCATCTCTAGACAAGGGGCTTAGGCCTTGGACAGACTCACAAGTAAACATGGAAAGCCAATTGATTAAATCCTGCTCAGAGCTGCTTCATAGTGTCTCCATCACCAGCCCACCGAAGTCAATGAGAACTCAGGACATGAGGGAACACTTTCAATGACATTCTGCAACTTTGGTGAGTTACACAAACTCCTGATCAAGAAGATTGTAAGACCACAGATGATAATATCTATGGTGTACAGTGTGCCTAAGGAGAGTCACTAGGAGAAAAAGGTCTCCCAAGGTTCCACAGAAAGCACCTTGGTCAAGCAATGACCATGATTCATCCAGATGGCAGACATTGACTGAAGAACTAGAGATGCTATACACGGGCCCAAGGTAAATTTGGAGGAAACTTAATTGACCTTGATAAATAACAAAATTGGTTAATACAGGCATCACCTTAATTTGGTCTTAAACATCCAGCAGGAAAGTATAAGCACGAGAGGTATGAAACAGTTGCCAACTCTGCTAGTAACTGATCACTTTTCTGGATAATGGGCTGCACAGGATTAAATGCTAAATGCAGGGACTTAAAATTTCTGAACTGGGAATCTTTAGCCTAAGTCAAAGAAATTCATCTAGAAAGGAAAGGATTCAAAAGGAAGTTCTCCTACAGAATCACCCCAAAACAGCTCCTCCAACCTCGACTAACTACCCATCACTCACAACTGTAAAGCAGAGAAGGGGGATTTATGGAGGGCATCTGAAGCTGGAGATTGATCAAGGCCAGCCTCAAGAACACAAGGCCTAAAAAAGAAAAAAGAAAAAAAAAAAAACCACAGGGCCTGAGGCAAGTCACATGAATAAGCTACTCTAGCCTCATGCACACAGCACGCCTGAGAGAAGCCGCATGGGTGAGCTATTAGGCAGAGAAGTTGCACATGCTATTCAACCTCCAAGTGTATAAATAAACACACTGCAGCCACTGGGGTGTGCTCCTTCTCCTTCTCTTCCTCCTCCTTCCTTCCTTCCTTCCCATCAAGAGAGAGGGCTCCATATGGCCTGAGTTTTCTGTGCTCTGACTCTTGTCCTTTTTCTCCATCCTCTCACTGTCCTCACCTTGGGACATCAAGAGCTGTGTGGGATGCAGCACACAAGGATCTCAAATCTGTGTTTCAGATCCATAACACATGGCAGTGTCATGAGTTGTGATTTGTGAACTGTATGATGAGGACATATTCTCTTTTGAAATAACCTACTTCACTATCTTCAACATGGCTGGACCACTTTGAATTCTCACTGGCAATGAATAAAAGCTCGTGTTCCTCTCCATCTTCACAAGCATTTTCAATGACCAGTGAAAGATAATTTCTATAACAGGAAAAAAGATATGAAGAGCTATAAATAAAGGAACAACATCACTGCATCACTGATTACAAGAATTTAATTGAGCCAAACCTGAAATGCCAGGAGCAACTGAGATAGATGGACCTGAAGTGGCATCCACCTCTAGTCCACCTCACAATTGACTACTACCAGTGTTAAACCACAGACACTGAGGGATAGTCAGTAGGGAGTTTGATGTATTTCTTCCATAGGCTTCCTCAATTTTCTATTGTATTTCTAGAAAATAGTGGGCTTACCATCCATGATTCTTTTCATCACTTACACTTTCAAATTCTTTTCTGTGTGATTACAGATGCATGAATTTTGTTACAGTATTTTCACATTTCTGTACAAATCTGTTGGTTATATTTCCATTTTCTCTACTCTTTGATATCTCTGTGGGATCTTTTCTCTTTGATATCTCTGTGTGATGTATTTCTTCCATAGGCTCCCTCAATTTTGTATTGTATTTCTAGAAAATAGTGGGATTGCTATCCATAATTCTTATCATCACTTACACTTCCAAATTCTTTTCTGTGTGATTACAGATGCATGACTTTTGTTATAGTATTTTCACTTTTCTGTACAAATCTGTTGTTGCTGGTTATATTTCCATTTTCTCTACAGTTCTCGTTCTTTCTTAACTATTGGTAAACCGTCAGATCCATGCACCATCTCAGAACTGTGCACTCTGAAGTCCTCTGGAATGCCCTGCCCTATGAGACCAAGCATGTGTCAGGGCCTCTGGATCTGGACCAATCAGGAGACAGGATGCATCTGTTCAGAGGTTTTCCATGCATTTCTTTCTTCTCCAAGATAGAAACCATAAGAAACCATGGTTAATTATCTGGAGAGAAACATTGGAAACAGAGAGAAGAAAGAATAAACACTAATTTTGAAACGGTGCAGATTTGATTGGGGTACAAACGTAAATATTGTAATTTCTGTCTTGAGAAATGGAGTTTTCTCAATTTTCCTGAAAAAGGAACATCACTGCAGTTCTACAGTAATGAAGCTTATACCATCACCAGAGCTTGGTGTTCTGGATGTGATCCTGTCAGATTCTAAGGCGGTTTGAATGAGGAAGCTGTTGGAGGAAGGGAGCCCACACAGAGTTGGGAGGTGTCTGTGCAGGCTAAAATGAGGAGGCTTTAGTGAGCACAGTGGCCCTGGGAGAGGCCAGTGTCTGTCAGTCTTGCTCATCACTCAGCAGTCACGTCTGCAGGAGCGGGGAATCTGAAGGTAGTTGCGGAAGATTCCAACCAAGGATCTCCTTTTGTGACCTGGGCCCTCAGGACATCTTTGTTATCATCTTATCATACCTGGCATTGATTTTACCAACCCTGAGAAAACACTTCATCATGGAAACCCCTCAAAGCAAGCCCCAATTTATAGAACAATAATAACGCAGATGTGCTGGGCAAGGAATTTATTGAAGCAAGACGTTGAAACCTTTACATTTTTCAGTGAAGATGGGGAATCCTTGAAAGACTGAGGCCATCAGGAGAGGACATTTTCCATATCTGTGTGATCAACATGCCTTTAGAACATTTTCCTGAAAGTGAACAAAAGACAGAAAGAAAGAGAAGTGAAGTGAGGTGAGTCACTCAGGTTCTGGGAAGGGCAGATTAACTCTATCAAGAGGTTCATTAAGTTGGCCAGCTACAGCACTTTGAAACCGCGAGAGACTAAGAAAGAGAGTGTGGAAACTCAGGGAAGCGATCTGGTCCAGTTTCATCAAACCACGCGTACCGGGCAACAGCCTTGTCTAAGCCAGGCAAGCCCACACTGAGGTGCCCAAGAGTGTGGCTCCGGTCTCCATGGAAGTCTTAGTGAACCAGAGAGCAAAGCAGCCAGGAGTTCTTTCCTCTGCTGCTCCAGGACTGTGGAGACCTCTCTGCCAATGGAGACAAGTGGTTGAGACTGAGGGCAGGGTTGGGTGTGTCTGTGGACGGCAATGTGCTCAAGACATCCCTGGGTGCTCTATCATTCTGCAGAAAAACCCACTGTAGCCTGTGAGCTCTGACAGAGGCTGGCTCCAGCTGCCTCCTTCGTGTCTGCCCACTACCCTCGCTCCCAACGCTCCCTGAGGCATTTGAGAGTGACGGTGCTCTTTTTGATGAGTGAAGCTCAGCTTGACGAAAGTACCCAGCCATGGAGGGAGGAGGCTTGGCCATGAAACAGCCCTGCCTCCACCTGGTGGTTCATTCTGACGTTGTCAGAGGGAACACATCACCCAGGGAGGAGCCCTGAGAAGAAGGGACCTGCCCAGGGTGCTGTGTGTCTGAGTATGTCAGCATGCGTGCTGTTTGCACTCTCTCTCTGGCCTTGGATCTTCCTATGAAGAGCAGACCAACAAGGTAGGGAGCCTCCACACCTGTGACCCATGCAAAAGCAGGCCAACCTTATGCCTGGCTGTGTGTCTGGGCAGAAGCCTTATGTATAACGAGAAAGAAATTACCAGTACTACTAGTATTGCGCCTCTGGATTTCACGTCAATCTGATCTGTACAGCCCTTCACTTCCAACTTTGCATCCACAGCTTCTTTAGGTGCATTGTATTTGGCCAGACTCGCTCTATAGGATACCTTATCCACAAGCAGGAACTCTCCCAACTCAAATATAACATTTGGACACGCAATCCCATTGGCTGGAACACAGGGAAACAAATAAAATGATTTTAATGGGAGAAAGGTTTTCCCCATGGCATCTTAAAGTTAGACTACACAGGACACTTGCACTTTATGCTTACCCACAATTTCTGCATTAAACTGTGAGACCTTGCAGGTTACAATTTTCTCAGTCACACAGGAAGAGCAGCGTTAGGACTGAATGACAGGCTTCAGATCGGTCATTTAGTATTTTGTCTTTTCAGGCACACGCACTACTTTTCAAGTTTTCTTTGGTTTGTAGAAAATCCTGGTCTAGATTTAATAGCTACACATTTCTGCCAGCTGTTTGCCCCTTACCAGTGCTGGACAGTGCAGCAGAGCAGGCTTTGTCATCAAGTCCAAAGTGCGTGTTAGGGTCACTTTCTTTTAACTCAGCATCTTGCCAAGTAGCCCAGGCTGCCGTTAAACTCATTTATACCCCCTGGTTGATGGAGACCACAACAAAGCAGCCCCGAGAAGGACTTAAATTAATCAATTTGTTTTTCATATTTACTTGAGAGTCTGTCCAAGGCCTAGGCTCTTTGTCTGGAGATGGGTGGTGTACTCATAGTAAGTGAACCTCTGTGAGTCACTAATCCCTACTAAGGCCTGTAATGGCAGATGAAGCCAGAAAACCTCAGAGGATAAGACAAGATCACAGCCAAGAACACCTGGATCTGATCTCAACTAGATAAAGACTATAGCCTCAGGCATCTCACTCCTGGGTGGATTAACTTAATACCTCACTTGGAGAAGTCCTTGAGTGATTCTTCCCTTCTTGAGTATTCCCCTCCCTTCTTTTGATAACTAAATAAATACAAGTCACCCAGAGAAGGTTGTGGTCTTAGCCCTGAGAGATTCTCGAATTCTGTCAGAAGGCTTTAGTCCTCCTGGAGCCCTGAAATAACTCCATTTGCCTCTTTTTATTTAGCCTTCACCGTATGTTCATTCAGGAGACTGTGTACCTGATTAGCCCACAATAAGAGATATTATTAACCTGATACCAGGTGGCAGGGAACTCTCAGTGATCTTCCCGCCTCTGCCTCCTGAGTGCTGGGTTTACACTTGTGCACAACCATGGATGGCTAGAGTCACGATCTTGCCAAGATTAGAGTAGTGAAAGTAAACCTGGGGAAGTGCAGATGAAACTGGAGATGTGGAGTGGTGATATTTTGAGATTAGGCTGACAGAATTATTGCATTTCTTTGGCTAAAGTCATGGCTCAGAAGCAGAAATTCTAAGAGAAGCATTTGGCTTTAGTACCAGAAAGTGACAGAAAAACATGTGATGACCTCTACTGTGCAATAAAGTCCAGATTCCGACTGAGGAGCAGAGGAGGTAAGTGGACCCATTCCTGACCCTCTTGGCACCCTCAGGAAAACTCAGAAATTTTTTTGGTCTATACTGCACATAGGATTCAAAGGCATCTTGAAGGACACTGTGGAGAAGGCGCCCCGCCAGGCTCCAGTGTGATCCTGTAGCAGACATCACACCACAGGGAGAAGCTGGACAGTCTAAGGTCAGGAGTGGCCCAGAGAGCCCAGAACGCTCAGGAAGCGAGAAGAAAGACCCAGGGAGGCTGGTGCTGTTCCGGGGACAGGAAGGCGGGCACGCACTGTTGCCTGGGTGGCCAGACTTAACTCTGTGCATCCGGAGGCACCACTGAGTGTGGGCCCGGATCCACCACACAGCCCGGAAGACACCAGAGAAGCAGCAGTGCTGCTCTTGTCAGCACTCAGAGCAAGCGGCCCCCGACTCCGGACCTCATTTGCAGCCTTACTCTGCAGAGCCTCAGAGACACTGGCTGCTCCTCCTTGGCTTTGGCGCTCTCCACATTTCCTTCCACCCCAAAACTTTCTGAATTTGAACTTAATGTTAAGAAGCTGTGGGATCAACTGGTGCCTCAAAGTGTCTGGGGAAGAGAATATCTGATAAGTACAGAAATCAGCTTCATATGTGCAGCTGTGCCCTTTCACACATTTTTTTCACTCCCAGGTTGGCAGCTAGGCACATGACCCCTGAGAAAAGACAGTTTGAGGGGGTGAGCGCTTTATCCAAGGTCACAGTGCTGAAGAGTGTCAGAGCCCAGAGTCGCACCTTAGAACCTTCTGATGCATCCACAGATGAGAGGGCAGTGAGGGAGTGAGTGTCTGGGCTGATTCCTGTATTTTCCCATGATGGTTCTCTATAAAAGTTTCTAGGTGTTGAGAAGGTGGTGAAATGATGCCTGATGTCTTAGGGAGCTGAGTCACCAGCACTGGCAAAAGCGTGGGTTGTCATCTGTTTCAGATCTCACCCTTCTGCAATAGCTGCTCCTTGTTTTCAGAGCTGGGCACTCACCAGGGGCTGGTGCTGGAGTGGGCAGCAGTGATACTCACCCTCAGAGCAGCACAGAGCCAGAGCAACGAGCAGGAGAGGCAGGCACAGCTTCATGCTGCTGATTTGCTCTGAGCTATCAGCGTTCCAGGGGTGGTGATCTGGACTCTGCCACCGGAGCCTGTGCGGAAGGAAAATTGTGGAGCTACTTATAGCTCCACAGACATACGTAGCAAGTCAGCAGTCCTGGCAAGCAGCCCTCCTTCCTCAGCCAAGGCTGATGCCACCTGTGCTGGTTTGGGGCTTATTGTGAGGTGAACAGTATAATACAGGACACATATTTTATAAGATTAGTTATAATAGTCACCCAAAGAATCATATACAAAGAGAGTGCAGGAAATCTATCCACACACTAAAAGACTAAAGAATCCATCTGAGGGCCTAGATCCCACAGTAATGTCCTGAATGAGTCCAGCTGAACACCTAGAGCTGATAACAACGTCTCCCACAAGTCCAGCTGGAGGCCTATAGACCATAACAATATCTCATGCAGACCTGTTTCATGGATCTGCTCTGGAAGGCCCAAAGGTCAGTGGTGGAAGCTAGAAAGTCTGTGCCAGCAGGATGAAGGATCTGTGTCAGCCGTCTGAGGGATCTATACTGGAGCCAGGAAATGATGCTCAAAATAAGAACCAGAGCTCCCCCAAGAAGTACCACAGCCATCCTCAGCAATAGTGAGGCCCCGAGCTCCTCTGATGATCAGTCAGGAAAGCCGAGTTCCCATCAGGAAAGCCAACACAACAAGCTTCTCCAGGAGACTGACTAGTGCACCATCCTCCCCTCCGGAGCCAGGAAGCGATGCTAAGAGTGAGGACCGGAGCTCTCACAAAGTGAACTGAAGCCATCCTCAGTGCCAACAAGGTCCCAAGCTCCTCGGAGGATGAAAACGGACAAGTTCATCAGGAAAGCCGGCAGGACAAGCTCCTCCAAGAGAACCAAGAGCTTCTTACACCTTCTTACAGCTCCCAACAGCCTTCCCCAATTCCCAACAGCCTAACTTCTCCAGTTCTTCCTCTTATGCCACGGACAACAGTCCCCAGGTGGACTCCTGGGGACTCCCACACCCAGCACCGTGCTTACTCAGTTCAGCTGGGTGGTATAAGTGGACCACCAGTTGTTAATCCACTACACCACCCCCTCAGTATCCTCCCTCCACTGAGATCTGGGAGGAGCCCAGGAGGGAGCCCCAGGGGAACTCTGCCTGCCCCCCAGGTCTCCTTTTGGGTTCCTCTATAAACGAGTCCTGGAGCCTCAGCCTTCCTGAGTATTCCTTCGTTCTCTGTCTCAGGTCAGAAGCACAGGTGGCTTCTCACATCGTTAGGACACACAGAGGGCGTCAGAAGACAGTGGCTGTGTGTAGGAGAGGAGGTGTGCAGGAAGACCCCACTCCCACCCCCAGGGCCACCGTGCAGTCTGCTTCCCTGCCACATGCTCGTCTAAACACCCATGTGCTGTTTCTGCCTTTCCTGCTCCACCTGCCTCACCGCCCAGGCAACATCAAGCACTGCTGAATCCTTTCCTCCTTGGCAGACATTTTGGTTGTAAAATGCCGTTTCAACATCTTCTTCTCTTGCCCCACATCATAACTTGAATCTTTGGGGTGGGGGCCACTTTTCAATGGAGCCAGGGTTCAGTTTTCTGTGCACTAAGGAGGCTTCTGTGAGGGGGAGGCATCTATTTTTCAGCACAGGGCTGATAACATGATTCAGTGGCTCTTGTCCTTTCTCCCTCTCAAGCTCGGAGGAGTCAGAAGAAGGAGAGCATCAGCAGTGCTGAGAGCTCACCCAGCCATGGGTCCTGGGGAGAAGATCGTGGCAATTAAGCAGCAGGAGAACAAGGCAGCCACTCACTGCCTTCCTTGCCCCTAGGCTCAAATCTACCTCTTTAACCCGAACACAGTGGCAGGAGGGGTGGCCTTGGTTGTCCAGCGGTTGCCCCAGTGGTTCTCATCTCCAGCATGCAGGGTGGTGGGGACATCCCTGGGGCCAGCTCTGTCTCCACCCCAGGAGGTAGGTGGTACAGTGGAGGAGCCATGACTATTTGGGTTCAGGTCCACAATTACAGGTTGTTGTGCCTAAGAAAAATGACATAATGTATATAACTCAGCTTTCTTACCTGTAACAGGGGTTTAAATTAATGCACATATAATAAGATTGATGGGAAGATTAAAAGAGTGTATGTGTTTCAAATTTAACTCCATTCAACTCATACTAATCTTCAATAAAGATAGCGAGCATCATTTTTTAACGGTTGTCACCCATGGCACAGGCTGCTACCATTTCCTACTTTACACCCTTGTCAAGTTCAAGAAAACCCACACTGAAAGTTACACGTATTCCTCCTCTGTTATATTTTTGTTTTGTTTTTTGGTGCTGGGAATCGAGCCCAGGACCTCATACTTGCCAAGCAGATGTTTGTGCCGCTGAGGTATATCCCCAGTCCCTCCCCCTCCATTATGAATGGGGAGGAACGAGCTCATGGCATGTGAAGCAGCAGACCCAGGGACCTAGTTAAGGAGGGTGTGGCTCTTCCACCATGGTGAGGAATCCCAGGGTCTGCCATCAAGGTTGTCATCAGCAGTGAATTTCATTAGGGAAACTGGAGCTTCCCACAAAACTGTGTGCTTAGCTTCCAACTCTTCCTCTAGTTCTTAAGCTCTGTTTGGGATTTTTGTTTGATTTTGTAGATGGCAATTTTTATGGCAGTCCTCCTTTCTCCTGATTGGGTTTCAGTTCTCCTCCTCTGTGGGAACTGGTGTCTGACCGCATTCGCTTTGCTGCTGCTCCCCTTCATAGGCTATGCTGAGTGTGTACCTTGTCCAGGGAGCAATCCCAGAGGCTCCACGGTATCATGTAGGACCAGTGATCAGAGACGAAGTGCCGTGACAAAGTGCTGTGACCGTGGCTGCACATATGCAGAGCCTAGATTTGCCCGTTTTCCGTTAACAGACTGCCTGTCTTAGTGCAGCTCACGGTCCGTGTACAAGGACGCATACTCTCCAAGCCAGGCTTTCCTTTGCCAGTGGGAGGAGGAATGCTACTGGCATTGTGATGGCCATGAAAGAAATTCAGGGGGTTCTCTGTCTTTGGAAAGAATTGAAGGAAGAGTGTGTCTGCCCAACTACCATCACAACTGTCATATACTGGTGCAAAGTAAACTTAATAAATTGATAAAAAGGATTTTAATTCAAACTAAGCTCTTAAATTGATGAAGCATACTGTGTTTAGTTTGGACCTTCAGGAAGAGGATCAGGCTGGAGGCATTAGGGTGCCAGCAGTGAAGGAGCCCCACAAGGTCAGCCTGGCTCTCCAAGCCCTGCTGTGTGGTCTGCAGACACAGGGGAAGCAGCAGTGCTGAGAGTAGGGAGGGGACTGGTGACAGAGGCACCGGAAGCACAGGCAGAGCCACTCAAGGATGTGTAGAATTCACCCTTCTGAACAGACGGCCAGAGGGGCGTGAGAGAACAGAGTGAGGGAAGCCAGGATGCTTGAAGGTCGTGATTTGTGGGCGACACCCGGCAGCCAAGTGCACCGGGAACAAACAGGTGCATGGGGAGCGGGGAACTTCGAGACAAGAGCGCAGGATGAGCCCAGCGAAGCGCAGTTTCCACCCCGCCTTGTCAGCCATGGCGGCCGATGGGTGGGTGCGGTGCGACGCGACCCCCCCAGAGCTTTTGTCTCAGTGTCTCTTTCCTAGGCGGTGCCGATGGACATTTCAGAGTCTCCCTGTACTCACTGGGTGAGGGCAGGCAGGAGCCTCAGGACCTGGACTCAGGCTCCACTCAGACATTTTCTGCTGTGGGGCCTTCAGCACGCTTCACCTCACGGGACTCTTTGGCTCCTGTGTAAGCTGAAGGTGACAACGTTAATGCTGCTTCATAGCCTCTGTGTACTGTAGGAATTATCGAATTAACATAAGAAAAGTACTGGCAGTGTCTAGCAGTCAGTGTCAGTCTTGTGAACTGAGGAAAGAAGGGAGACAGTGATGTAAAATAAACCTCTCTGAACCCAAAGTAAACTATCCACAGGGCTCCAACTCATTCTGTCAGCAAGGAACGTTTATCTCTGATAGCTGAATGTGCTTTGGGATCTGGCTTCATTTCCACAGACACCTCCGACCTGTAAATGAGAATATCATTTTTTAACAAGGTGGCTTGTCGCTTCTGGTCAAAGACAAGAATGTATCTTTGTCATTTTAATATTCCCAATAATGAATATTAAATCTAAATGTATAGGAAGGGGTTTGTGCAGTAGAGAGTGTTTCTCCCGGGGCACACACCAGCTGTGGGCTCCTCTGGTCTGCAGGAAGTGTTGGTCGCGCTGGTCCTTTGGATCAAGGGTGTAATCTGAGGGATTGTCTGCAGACTGGTGTTTAAATTGGTTGTAGGTGGGAAGCTTCTATACATCACTTTAAGGTCACGATGGCCACTAAGGTTTTTACCACATTGGTGTCCTATGATCCCAATGGAGTCCTTTCTTGAACTTTTCCAGTTTACCAAGGATGAGGCATACCCCTCTTCAATCTCCATGCTAATAAAGAGCATTGATTCTGAGTGTAGACATCTCCAGAGCTGAAAGACACAAATTAAAGCACAATTTACTGCTTTGCCAAATTGTCTTCTACAACAGGTGTAAGATTTGCTGGTTTTTAATAAAATATTAATGCTTGTCAATGATTGGTAAATCACTGTCCTTTTACTCTATGACCCAAGGAACTTTGAGAATCAAGTCATTTATGTTTCACATAAACTACTCCTTTCTCATCCCCCTACTCATTTGATAAGCACCTGTGATGAAAATATATGGTAAATGCTGAAGTTTTAAAGATCGTAATAAAGACCCATTGTGCTTAACCCTTGCTCGCATCTTCGTCCTCACTTTGAGAGACCTATGTGCTGTGTTATCTCCCTGGGAGATGAGTCGAGGGATTGGTTTCTTGGTGAAGTTTGCAAATAACAAGTGCCCTTCCAGGGCGATGTTGTACTTGTGATTCTCCTTGTACTGACAGCCAGGTCATTTCATTAGTGACACGAATTAGAGCTGGAATTCCCTCTGCTCCCTGCACATAGACCTCCTGTATCATCGCCCATCACTGGGGCCCTCCCATGACCTCCC